CCTCTTGCATTGAGCCAGGACTTCCGTCTCAGTCTTGTCCACAGATTCGTAGTCCGGGTTCCACGTGAAAGTACTTCCGAACCCGTGTCTATACARAACGGGGCATATCAACGCSGTGTCTCCCGGATTGCGATCCACAGGTACGAGGACAAGGCCTTGGTACTTCGAGGCCCAGCTACGTACCTCTCCCTCTGTCCAGGCCGCACATACCCCGATCCCGGCCTTGACGCAGGAGTCAACGTTCGCAACCTCCCACTTCTTTCCCTTCAGGTGGGCAGTTGTCATGCTGATGCCTTGAATGATGTCCCTCCTACTGTTCTGCTCATCTGGTCTCGTCACGTTCTTCGCGTTCCTCACGAACATCGGCACGTCCTTCATCTCCGACACTCTCACGAGTACGTGCCCGTCTTGCTTGTCTAGGTGGTAGTGCTCACAGGGACAACTCACCGGTCTAGTATGAGCATACCGGCGGTGGTTGTGGATAACTTCCCCCACCGTCTTGTTTTTCGTACTCACCACCCTCACCTTCTTTTTCACGAAGGCTGCCAGAGCATTGTCGTCTAGCTTTCCGTCGATCTCTGATTCCACCAACCGCCTTACCTCCGACTTCAGGATAGCGGAACTATACGGATACTTGACGGTGACCCTCCTTCTCACACTAACTCCCGTTTTCTTCCTCAAAACCCGATCAATTTTTATCTTCAACTTCTCTCTTGTCTCCTTCCTCCCGAAGAGACCGACAGTCCTGTATAATCCTACCAATTTACTCGTCGGTTGTCGAGCTAGACCAACTACAAGCTTCGGCTGTCTCAACAATCTACCCAACTCTCGCTTGTACCGTTCGGTAGTGGTAGTCGTTTTGCATAGCCGCACAAATACCACCTTACCCCCGTTCTGGCAGATCTGTCTCGCTTGTTTCAGCAAAAGCTTCCTCCCATTGGCCTCGACCTCCGACATCTCGTAGAACTTGCTGATTTGCTTCCACCCGTCCGCCCATTGCTCACCCGTGGTGAAGGTTACCTCCGCTTTCCCTCTCGGTTTCTCGCTTCTTTCATGCAACCAGTTCAGTAGTGATGTACGTTTTCCCTCTGCGGTAGTGAAAGCTACCACAGCCTTTCCTACCGTCCCACCTTTCTTCTTCTTCCTCTCCCTCCTGCCCTTTCGCCTTCTTGACTTCGCCCCTCTTCCCTTCGTTCCCTTGGCGTTCAAGCTGGGTGACAAATCTCGGATCAGGTAACGCTCGAACTCAAAATCGTCAATCTTGGTTGTGTGCCTCACCGGTATGATTACAAACTTATCAGTACCAAATGTTCTCATCCATCGGTACAGTTGGGGAGCTTTTCCCCGAGAGTCCGATGCTGCCGCGTGCACGTGCTCCCTCCATCTTTGCAATATTGGTCTCCCCGTACATCCCACGTATACTCGCTTTGCCCACGGGCTAGCGATGACATACGTGCCTCCAGTCCGCAGATCTAAAGTCGCTTCGTCCACGTCTGCCTTGTCCAGGTATTTCTTCAGCCATGTGATCTCTCCTCTCATTCCGAGGAGTATTGTTGTTGTCGTGATCCGTCGCTCCACCCCCACTACTTGCTCGCCTTTAGCTCCCTGCCCCAAAAGGGTCTTCCTGATATCCATTTGCGTCCGGAGTGTACACCATAACTCGACGGCTGTAGGGGGCGCCGGGAGTCAATATGTCCCTAGTTCCTGTGGTGTGGCCGATCTAATGATATTGCGCGGCGGCATGAACATCTTGGTTTTCACTCGCGTGTTAACCGCCGTCTTGATTTCTTCTGGGGGTGTCTTGTCTTCAGGTTGCCCTCCTTGACTCTCTTGCTTCTCTTTTCCTTTGTCGTTCTCTGCTGGCGCGTCGAAGAAACCCTCAAACGCGCGTTGTGTCTGCCTCCTGACAAGCCCCATGACCATGTCGTCCTTCCTTGTTGACTTGATCCCCGCCCTCTCACACATCTCTCGTAGTTCCGGGACTTTCTTCGCGGAGTACTGCTGGAGGACCTTCAGCGTGTAATCAACGAAACCTTCCCGCGAACATCCTGCAGATATGCCCTTGTATTCCCCCGTTAGTGGTGTACGAGGCTCGTCTGCGATCACCACTCCCTTCGTCGTCGGTGTTTCGGACAGTCTAGAGCACTCCCCTTTCTCATACACACTGGGTGGTGTCCTCTTCGCTGGCCTCCCCCTTCCTTGTACCCTCTTAGGCTTCCGTTTCTGCTTCTCGGCGCGCATTATCCGCAAGATCCGTCTTGCTTCTTCGTCCGAGTCCTCACTAGATTCGCTCGCTGACGTGCTACTGTTCTCACTTGTGTCTGAATTGCTGGAGGAGCGAGCTTCTGTATTCCCCCTGTTTCCCTTCTTGGTCTGTCTCCGTGACTTCCTCTTCGCCTTGTCCTTAGTTATAACCTTGCTTTGTGGTGATATCTTTGGACCCGCCTCCTTCACCGTTTCTTGCCGCTCCTCCCTCGCTCTGTTGGCCGTTTCTTCTTGCTGTCTCCTCCATTGCTCCTCAATGTCCGCTTGTAGACGACTGACAGGCTTAGACTGGCCATGGGAGTGGAGGGCTATTCTTTTTGGACACTGGATTCCCGCACTGATTGAGTTATCTGATTTTCAACAGAACCTATTTCATTTAAGCAGGAAAGCGGTGCTATGGGCATTGTGGCATAAGAGATGTATAAGTGCCATCGAAGGAATTATAATTGGAAAACAAGAGGTGGTAGATATAATCCAACAATTTGTGCAATCTGAAATCAGATTTCAATGGGATAAGACGAAAATTAAAATGATTGAATATAAACAAAAAAAAGATATCACACAGAGAATCTCGAAATTCAATTTGGAATGGTTAGGGGATGCATCAGGGGAAAAACTGGGGAAGGTGGTGGGGCCAGGAGGAGAAGGAGATCAGGGGACTTTTAAGCGAGATTACCAGATCACTTTTCACAATTGGTTTGATATCCAGCCAGGAGCTTCTTTAAGATCACCTGAGTTTTTCTCTGACCCTTTTCCTCCATCTGCTATGGCTCTAATGGATCTAGGATGGTTTGGAGGAGAAGAGCAAGGAGGATAGGCGTTTTCACTAGAAAGGTGGGAGTTTATGGAGATAGATGCTGGGTTAATCATTCCTTTCTGGCGGTCATTTTGTTTGACTGAAGAGGCATCTAGAACAACACCTTGCTAGGATATAAAAATTCGGATTGATTCTATGATCAATTAAAGTTATATGTAAGGGACGCTGGACCCGTTTTCCAGCAGGTGCTGCTCCCCACCAATAGATCGGAGCTAAAAAAAATAAAAATAAATAAATAAATAAAAATTGCTTCTTCATTTCCTCCGTTCTTCTGGCGATATCTAACTCCCGCTTCCTATCCTCTTCCTCCTTCAGGCGTCTCTGCTCCTCCTCAATCTTCTTCCGCTTCTCCTCTCTCTTCTCTTCCATCAACTCTCTTACGAAGACGTGTACCTCATCATCCTGTTGGTTCGGTCTCGCAGGACCTCGTTTCGACCAGCAATCTCGTGCTATGTGCCCTGTTTTCCCGCACTCATAGCACGTGATAGCATTCCTTCCCCCGTATCCCCCATTCCCGTTGTTCCCTTTCCCCCCATTGTTATTATTGTTGCCGTTATTCATGTCGCACACCTCCTCCTCTTACCACCAGGTTTCTACCTCTACCTCTGTCTCTATATATTTCTATCCCTAATTCGACCCTTACTGAAACTAACACAGCCACCGTTAGGCTAATGAGAACCTCGGTTACTGCGTTCCCAAAACAGGCAGACTGCGGCAAGACAGTCTGTCAGGAGACGCAGCAGCAAGGAAGGCAAAGCATGCATACTCAGAAAACAGCGACAAAGAGTGACAATGAATAAACTCCGCCAAGCTGCATAAATGCACAGATTCGTTAGACCAGCTCCCAGAGTTCCACCTCCAYRGCACTCAGCATTACTGTTCGCACATCACGTATGCCTCACCAACCAAGCCACCATAGCTATATCTCCCAAAAACGACAAAGTAGTCCCTTCTACCGGTTTCGTCCGGCTACTACACGGACTCATCAGGAAGGCGCACACTCACGGGTGCTTCTGTCGAAAAAGAGGCCTACTGCCTTGCCTCTCCCTACTGAAGTACTGTTTCCTATGCCTACTGCGTCACGTGCCTACTCGACCTCATTGCACACACCGCATGTACGGACAAAACATAAATCCGACCGCCTGTCGTGGCGACATCAAAATTACGACCGCGCTCAAACTATCCCCGGCCTGCCACCGAACAGACAAAACTAAATAAATAAATAAATAAATACATATGCTCTACTGCAGATCCCGGTCTGGACGTATCCCCCGGATATCTCAAAATGCCCGTTCGGCAGTTACAGATCGGTCCGAACTGGCCGCGGGTCTCTAACCACCCAAAAACCTGTCCTCGATAGGGGTGGTACTTCCCACCCAAAAACTTTGGAAAAGGGTAGGGGATGATAGTGTTAGGGGGTGCTTGTCACTGCTGTCTGCTCCAAGTTGCCCTCGATACTGGTACAATAACCACCGGCTGCCGCTGCCAGCGATCACCGTGGGTCTAGTCCTTGGCCTCTACAACACCCTGGGCTTAAAAAAAAAAAAAAGATGCGCTGCGGCCAACTGGGGGGGAACCGGCCCGGTCGACCAACCGGTAGGACCAGTCCGGTTCCAGTTGGGGGAGGGCCCCCTGGTCCTACCGGGTTTGCAGCACTGGGTTTCGTTGGATTAGCTGTCCATAGGAAGGCTGCTGCTTCCCTCCTGAGTACCTTGACTGTCTGCGAGGGGGGACTCCACACTGTTCCTACGTATGGCGAAGATACAAGATACAAGCATTCAAGATTAACGCCCTTCCGCGAGAGAGAGAGAGAGAGAGAGAGAGAGAGAGAGAGAGAGAGAGAGAGAGAGAGAGAGAGAGAGAGAGAGAGAGAGA